GTGATGACCAGCCTGTTCAGAATGGGTATCCCACCCCCCTGCTGAGTGCTGACACAGATAAATAACTCATGGATGGTGCAGCAAACATCCTCACTGCACGGAAACCAAGAGCAGTGGGAAATAAAATAGTTTCCTGCAGGCTGCATAGGGGCTAAGTAGGAGTCCCATGCTCTGGAGACAGAGAGGGGGTGCTATCATTTTAAATTCGCTTTTAGTTGTCCTGATAACGTCAGAAAAGGTATTCAGTGAACAGTCCAAGATGAAACTTTCTATTACACCCAAACAAACATCATTCCTAACATTCACCTTGAGTTCTTCCTAGAAACATGACATTAGCATTTGCAATCAAGAGTCTGGCAATTTGTGGCTGAAATATGAATGAAAATAACTGTTGGCTGTTGCGGGTTGAATTGCCAGGATCAGATGAGCTTCTGTGTCTAAACCAGTAAACATCCCCTTATTAACACAATTGTTTTGCATAATGGCTCATTTAACGTATTTTAGGGATAAATAAATGCTTTTAATAAATAGCATTAGATGTTTGCACCTGGGATGCTTTTGAGATAATCACTTGAATATTCATATATATTAATTTTTTTCTGGTGTGAAATACTGCCATCTACTGCCATCTGAGTGTTTTACTATCCATTAAAAATGCATGCTGAGCATCCAAACCATGTTCAATCCTGCGTAATTTTATTTTAAATTCTAGTGGAGATCCAAACATTTTCAAAGACTTAAGATATGTCAGGGTGAATTTGGGGACCTATAGAATATTTCCATTTGATGGAATAGTACAGCAATAAAAAGCTACTTTTCCCCTCTACTCCACTACATTTCACAGGGAATATTGTACTTTTTTTTTTTTTTTACACCTCTACATAATTACAGAAATGTTTCTGGGTTGAACTACCAAATAGTAATATTATGGTAAGCTCCACCTCAACCAGCTTCTTGTAATGTTATAGTAAAACATACTATAGATAATTTTCTTTTTTTTTTTTTACTTTCTCCATTTTCCTCATTTTTACACTGGGCCTAAGTAGCCTATACTACCACTGGACTTAACATTAATAGCTTATATGAAAATATAGTCCAACTTTAGGTCCGTATTATAACAAGAGGGGAATAGTATATAAAGTAAACAGGATTTTAATGCAGTATTTAAAAGAACCCTCCCAGAATGAGCGTTCCTAAGATGCTTGTCATTTAAAGTGCATCCACACAGAAGGCCACCTTTGAGGTGCTTTAAATGGCAGAGGTATGGACATATTGCAGCTGCTTGTAGAGGAAGTAGAAGATGTGGGAAATGTGGAGGTGAACACAAGATTTCTGAGTGTACGGAGAAGGTGGTAAAGTGTGGTTCATGCAGTGGAGGGCACATTGCTGGAAATCGTGAATGTGAGCAATATAAGCAGGCTATGAGGGTGCAGCAATATAGGGAGCTCAACAAAGGGGTGTCTAATGCTGAGGCTGTTAAAAAGGTTGCAACAAGTGGGGAGGTGAGGGAGATAAGGAGGAGAGAAGGGGAATGCCGTCCGCCAGCCTGTGTAACAGAATATTCAGCAGTGGTGAGTAAGATGGAATTCCTGGCTTTCATTGTGGAAGTAATGTGTGACATGAAGCAGACTAAGAACAAATCAGATTGTAGTGTGAAGTGTGGTGAAGGCCTGCTGAGAGAAGTCTTGGGGTTGTAGGGATTGAGCCAGCTACCCTCCATAGATAGGTGTTCTCAACAGACAGAAGGGGAAAGAATAATGGAAACCAAATGGAAGATGATGATGATGATGAGTTAGTTTTGTATCCTGCAGTGGAATGCCAGAAGTCTGGTAGCTAATAGACAGGAATTTTAAGAAATTTGTGCATGGTTTCAAATAAAAAGCACAGCTAATATGCATATAGGAGACATGGCTTAAACCAACTTTAGATTTTGTGATACCAGGTTACATTTGTTTACGTAAGGACAGAAATACATCTGGAGGAGGGTGTGCAATTTTTGTTAAAAAAGGTGTTCAGTATAGGCAAGTCAATGTAACCTCAGGACTTGAGTGTGTAGCAATTGAGGTATGGTGCTCAGCAGGTAGGTTTTCATTGATTAACTTCTATAATCCTTGTCTACGGCTAGAAATAGATAATTTAGTTGAAGAGAGCAAAGTAGTGCCGTGGTGGAACCGGGCTTGTGATGAGGCTGTGAGGGTTCGAAATAGAGCTTATAGGCAGCTTCGCAAATGTCCTGTTGAGAGTCTTGTTATTGAATATAAGAAACGGCGAGCTGACGTTAGAAAGGATATAAAATGTGTGAAGAGAAAGAGTTGGCAGAAGTTCTGTGGTACTTTAGGTTCTGAGACTACTGTTCATCAGATGGCTGGAATTCATAGAGGTTTCTCTATTCCTGTTTTGGTAGAAGGGAGTAGTGAAGTGGTAAGTAATAAGGACAAGGCTGATCCGTTGGTTAGGAGTTTCCAGCAAGTGCATACTGGTAGGAATGTTGGTAGAGAAGGTTTGATTAGGAGGGAGCTAATACTTGAGCTGGAAGGGCACTTGACAGGAATAACGTGAACGCATAAACTAAAGAGGGTAATAAGACGAGGGCGACACGCTACTCTTGGGAGAGATGGCTTGGGATATGATATCTTTCAGCATATGGATGAGTTTGCATTGGAGGAGGTGCTGGCATTGATAAATACAATGTGGGAGGAAGGATCAATTCCAGCTGAAGGGAAACATGCCGTTATTGTGCCAATTTTAAAACCCGGTAAGGAAGCTGAAAGCCCTGGATCATATAGGCCAATTGCACTCACAGCTGTCATTTGTAAGATTATGGAAAGGATGGTTACTGACAGGTTGGTATATAGATTAGAAAAGAAAGTTTTTTTCTCCACATATCAGAATGACTTTAGACTTGGTCGTGGAACTACTCGTCCTACTAGTGTTGGACGATGATATCAAGAAAGCCCTTGTAAATAAAGAGGTGGTGGTAGGTGTGTTTCTTGATATAGAGAAGTCTTATGATATGCTGTGGAAAGAAGGAGTAGTCATTAAGCTGTATGATGCAGGGATTCGGGGTAGAATGATTAACTGGATGAAGGACTTTCTAAGGCTACAGAGTATTCAGGTAAGAGTGGGAGGGAGCTTTTCTGACTGTGATTGTAGATAATGGGACTCCACAGGGTAGTGTCATCAGTCCAGTCCTGTTCAATATATGTTCGATGAGGTAGGAAGTGGATTTCAGCAATCTTTGTTCGCAGATGATGGAGCAATGCGGAAAAGAGGCCGTAATACTGGGTATTTATTTAAACAGATGCAGTGGGCTTTGGATAAGGTGCAGGCTTGAAGTGAAAAGTGGGGCTTTAGGTTATTATTGACAAAAACAAAAGTCTATAGTTTTTGGCAGGAAGAGGAACATAAGTTTATATAAGCCTTAAGTTGTATTGGGAACCTCTTGAGAGAGTCAGGATCTTCAAGTTTCTTGGTGTCTGGATGGATGAAAAGTTAATGTATAAAGAACATGTAAGTAGAATGGTAAATAAGTGTTATCAATATTATGAGGTGTTCTGGGTGTTCTTGGGGTGCAGACAGGAAGCTTATGCTGATGATTTATAAAGCTATGATAAGATCAGTTTTTGATTATGGGTGTCTTGCATATGGATCGGCAGCAAGATCCACCCTTAATAAATTAGATGTGGTGTGAGCTAGGGCTTTGAGGATATGCACTGGGGCATTCCAGACAACGCCAATTCTGTCGCTGTATGTGGAAGCAGGGGAGGTTTGTGCAAAATTGGCATTAAATTGTTTTAAAAAAAAAAAAGTTTTGGATCAGCTCTTAGTACAGTCTCAGCAGAGTGTTTGGAATTTAGAAAGAGAGCAGGCTTAATAGATATTACATTCTGTTAAGACATATGCAGAAACCTAATGAAAGGAAAACAGCGCCTTCTGTCTACTGGCCATCTAGCCCTCATTGGTTATTGCCTGAGGCTGATGTAGACATAACTATTAATTATTTAATAAAGGAAGGGAGAATAGGAAATGTTACACAGTATGTACAAGAGCGTTTGGAATTAATGAAATAGTTATTAGAAATGTATACAGATGGATCTAGAGACCCTGAGAGTAGGAAAGTAGGCTTTGGTCTATATGTTCCCCATATTCATTTAAGACAGTGTTGTAGGCTGCCTGATGGCCTTTCAATCTTTACAGCTGAACTAGTAGCAATACTATGGGCTCTGCACTGGTTGGAAGAAGGTGGGGAGGAGAAAGCCATTATTTGCTCTGATTCACTGTCTGGCTTGATGGCAATAGAGGGAGAAAGAGATGGGGCTAGCTTAGACTTAGTCAGGGAAATTTTAACAGTGGTCTATAGGCTAGAGAGGCGGGGGTGAAGTGTGGATTTCCTGTGGATTCCGGCACATGTGGGGTTGAGGGTAATGAGGCTGCTGATGAGGCTGCTAGGGAAAGTTTAGGTAGGGAAAATGTGGAGGTGGCATTTGACAGACTGGAGTGCCGTAGCATCATCAAAGAAAGACTGACCCAAAAATGGCAGCACGAGTGGAGTAAAGACACCAGAGGGAGGAAGTTACATGACATCAAACCATCAGTTAACATTGGGAATATAATGAACTTGCCTCGGATGGATCAAATTAAATTGGCCAGATTAAGATTGGGTCATTGCAGGCTGGCAAGTGAACTATTTCTGGTGGGGAATCACAGGGACGGCAAGTGTCAAGAATGTGGAGTAGAGGAGTCGGTTAAACATATCACGCACTGTCCGAGAGATGCTGAGGAAAGGAGATTATTCATGGGTCTAAACGACCTGGGAGCTGAACAAATGTCTTTTAAAACTCTAATGGGTGAAGGACCTAATCAAGAAAAGAGAGCATTGGAACTAATTCAATTCCTAATTGAATCCCTGTATTGGAAAATATAGGCCAGGAGGAGCCTTTATGTATTGTCTCTCTCACCAGTGGGAGGCAGCAATGCACTAACAGTGACTACTCTGCCGGAGGGAACAGAAGAAGAAGAAGAAGAAGCCGTATTTCCGGTCTCATGTCAGCCTTCTGCTGAGACCGCATGGCTAGTGCCAGTGACACTTGCCGCATTTAAATGTGTTTTTATCCCGTCTGGAGGTTTTAGTGAAACAAGAGGTAAAGTTTTGTTTTATTTTTATTTTTTTTACTTCTAATGGATAAGCGTCGTGTGTAAATCGTCAACCGACGAAATGTTGTTAGCCAAATAGATGTGAGGTGCTTTTATTTTAGCTGTTAGCATCAACTCAGTCCTGTCAACTTCAGAAAACTAACGTTACAAAGGTCCGTGTACGTTTTGATAGTTTGTTTTTTTCGTTTGAACCAATAACATATTGTGACATAATCACTGTCTGTTTAAACTAAGCAGCACGTTAAACATTTTAATTGTACCATAAGGTGTTTTAGCAGTGGCTCCCGATCTCTTTGGCTTGGGACCCCTGAAATCACAGGTGATGCTTCATGATGCGTTCGAGTATAAAGTTTAAGCTGTGTCCGGTTAGCCAAAACCTAAATTGTCCTTCTCATATTGATGTATTGGAACGGCATGAGGAGGTGAAACTATTCAGTAATTCACATGGAAAAACAATAAAGCGCTAGGTCTGAGAAAATAAATTTACATACATAGTTTTGGTGGGGTCCCAAACCCCAGGTTGGAAACCATTGTCGAAACACATCACGTCAGATGCCATACTGTTGTTAGTAAAATATGATTTCCTATACAAATGCTTGTATGCACTAGAAATAATACAATCAGTTCATTTGTGTTAGTGTTTGGTAGTCAGTGAGTGGTCCTGCCTGATATCCTGCAAACTGTCTTTTATACAGATGGCAGAAGTTGTGCAAGAGAAAAGTCGTGGCTTGAAGTTTGCAGAGCAGCAGCTCCTGCGTCATGGCTGGGAACACGGTAAGATACTCTGATCTCATTTGTGCAACAATTCAACAATGAATATTTCAGCTCAGATTTCATACTCAGTCCACTCTGTCCTCAGGTAAAGGACTGGGCGAGCTGAGAACGGCATATCAGAAGCTATCAAGGTCAAAGTGAAATGTGACAAAGGAGGGGTGCGTGACATTTGGTTTTATGCAGCATTTGCTTTCATTTGAATTGATTAATAATGCACAGCTGTAACTGTTTTGGTACCACATCTATCACTGTTTTGTTCTGAACTGTTTGTCTTCTGGAGAAAGCTGTTGTTGGTTGACTCACATGTTGCTCTTCTCCACCAGGTCGGTCACAAGGAAGGGGAGCAGTTCACCTTCCACTGGTGGGATCATGTCTTCAATAAGGCCTCTTCCAGTCTGCAGGTGGAATCTGATCAGGTAAGTCCGACCTTCACATAGCTGAATGTACAAGCACCTGTACTCAACATAACATGATCAGGGGACTCGACATGTTTATCTAAAGGCAGTGAGTGATGCAGTCTTGCTGTATTTTAAAATGTTGTGTACATTTGATTTTTTTGTGGTAATGGGATGACATATTTTAGAATAAAGAAGTAATCACTTATGAGATTCAGCTCATTTATTAGTCAAACATTTGCAAAGGTTACCAGCTGATTCATGACTGTGAAAACTTAACACTCGCTGATTGTAGCTGTATTTAACTACTTTGTTTGGTCAATGTGGGATTATTTTTAGGAGCCATTTGAGAGGTCAAAGCAACAACTTTGAAGTGTCTATTAAGATTAATTTTAACTTTATACTCCTAAACTAACTTTTCAGGTCGTTTGAACTAAAACTCGGCTGAAACAGCAGCTGATTACACTGATTTGTTCTCCTCTCTTGTTAATAAGTGAAATCAGCTATGTTGACAGAAAGTCATGTGGGTTTTTTTTCTGTGTGATCCAGAACGGCATTCAGTTGAAGAAGACCGTGGAGGAAGATGAAGAGAATGGAATTTCCAATAAAAAGCCACGGAAAGCCACACTGGCTAAAGCCAAACTTTATGGATGCTTTGTCAAGGTAATCTGTTCATTTGTTCTTATTTATTGGGTGAATATCAATGGATATATGAAAGTGAACCCAAAGAAGGTTGAAGTGAAGGTCTACGGCACAGAGTAGGGATGCACGAATCTTCGGCCACCGAAATGAATCGGCCAAAAATAGCACTTTCGGTGTTTGGCCTAATAAGTCAAAAGATTGATTTAAATTTT